GGGAGCGCTGCCGCGCTTCCCAAGCGGCGCACTATAGCAGTGCGCCACCGGGCTGGCCCAACCCCAACTTTCAAAAGTCAAGCTACATTGTGGGAGCAAATCCAGTTTAGTCCTTGGTTGGAGAAACTGAGGTGGCAGCAGATGTTTAGCCATTTGATTCAGAAAGGATTTCAATGAAGAAGAAAATCTTAAATCAGAGCTCTAATGAGGCAGGCAGTGTATTAGAATTCTAGAGTCAGTTTACCACTATGTGGCCTTGATCAAATGACTTAACTTTTTTGACTCAGTTTTCCTATTTATGTCTTTTGTCTGTTTTTCTCTTTGGACTCTTACACATTTGTAGGAGCTCATTAAGTTTTATGGAAATTAACCCTTTAAGATCCGTGTTGCGATGGTCCCTGTATCTTATGTATTATTTTTAAAAAATTTTATCTTACTGCAAATATTTTTATTGAGACCAATTTTTTTTTTTTTAACTTTTTAATAAGTACATTCTAAGATGGGAGGGTAAAAGGGAGGGAGTGGGGCTGGCTCATGGCTGGCTCCATTGCTGGCCTGGTTGCCATTGGTGGCAGGTGGGCTAAGGCTCATGGCCCACAGTCTCAGGACCCCCTTGGGCTTCCCTGTAATTTTTATTCCAATTAAACGTCAAAAAAATGTTTTTCACCAAGTCAAATATACTTATTTATTTTTTCTTTTGCGGGCATCTGGATTTTGTGATACCAGGCATAGGTCTGGCTGCCTGCCCCCTTTCAAAAATGAACCACTCAAAAGTCAATTGTTGGGGGCTGGCTGGTGGCTCACCTGGGAGTGCATGGTGCTGATAACACCAAGGTCAAGGGTTTGGATCCCCAAACTGGCCAGCCGCCAAAAAAAAAAAAAGTCAAATGTTAGGGAAAATGGAAGTCAGCTTTTATTTAGGAATACCAGTGACCCAAGAAGAAATGTTAGGCTAGACTATCCAATAAACCTGAAGGAGAATGGTCAGACTAAAGCCACATCCCAAAGACTCAGATTTATTGAGGAGCTGTTAAGAGGGGGCTGAGGGATTGAATCCTGGAAAATGGAAATAAGGAGGGAGGGGCTTGCCAAGGGTCTATCTGGTTTTTGCTCATGTCCTTGCTGTTACCTCAGGGTCTGGGTAGTATAGACAAGTCTGCAGCTTCAGGCTAGCTGGAAAAGAACTTTACAATTAATGTAAATAATGTCATCTTGTCCCTTAACCAAGTCTCAAAATACCAAATAACCATTGGGAAAAGAGGGAACTCAGAGAAATGCATGCCAAGAAAAAAACTGTGTCCTTTTAAAATTGCCTACAGCCCATGAGGTTTTAGGTCCCCACATGGCATCAGACCTGCTCACTCCAACACTCATATATATATATATATATACATATATATATATATATATA